TGGCCCCAGCCCCTCAGTGAGGTCCCCAGGCCCACACTGATGTCCCCAACTCCACGCTGATGTCCTCAACCCCTCAATGAGGTCCCCAATCCCAGGCTGGTGTCCCCAGCCCCATCCTGGTGTCCCCAGCCCCTCAATGAGATCCCCAGCCCCAAACTGATGTCTCCAACCCCTCAATAAGATCCCTATACCCATCCTGGTGTACCCAACCCCACACTGATGTCCCTAGCCCCACACTGATGTCCCCAGTCCCTCAATGAGATTCCTAGCCCCTCTCTCATGTCCCCAGCCCCTCAATGAGGTCCCCAGCTCCTCAATGAGGTCCTCAGGCCCATGCTGATGTCCCCAGCCCCTCAATAAGGTCCCCAAGGCCATATTGATGTCTCCAACCCCTCAATGAGATCCCCAACCTCGGGCTGATGGCCCCAGCCCCTCAATGAGGTCCCCAGCGCCATACTGCTGTCTCCAACCCCTCAATGAGGTCCCCAATCCTATGCTGGTGTACCCAAACCCACACTGATATCTCCAGCCCCATACTGGTGTCCCCAGTCGCTCAGTGAGATCCCAAGCCCCTCACTGATGTCCCCAGCTCCTCAATGAGGTCCCCAGCCCCACACTGATGTTCCCAGCCCCACAATGAGATCCCCAGCCCCACACTGCTGTCTCCAACCCCTCAATGAGGTCCCTAGCCCCATGCTGATATTCCTAGACCCACACTGGTGACCCCAGTCCCTCAATGACGTCCCCAGTCCCTCAATGACGTCCCTAACCCCAGGCTGGTGTCCCCAGCGCCGCGCTGATGTCCCCACAGTCCTGCTGATGTCCCAAACCCCCATATTGATGTCCCCAGCCCCTCAATGAGGTCCCCAGCCCCATGCTGGTGTACCCAACCCCAACACTGATGTCCCCAGCCCCACACTGGTGTCCCCAGTCCCTCAATGAGATCCCCAGTCCCTCACTGATGTCCCCACCCCCTCACTGATGTTCCCAGCCCCTCACTAATGTCCCCAACCCCTCAATGAGGTCCCCAACCCCAGGCTGGTGTCCCCAGCGCCGCGCTGATGTCCCCACAGTCCTGCTGATATCCCAAACTCCATATTGATGTCCCCAGCCCCTCAGTGAGGTCCCAGCCCCTCAATAAGGTCCCCAACCCCAGGGTGGTGTCCCCAGCTCCACACTGATGTTCCCATCCCCACACTGGTGTCCCTTGCCCCTCAATGAGATCCCCAGCCCCTCACTGATGTCCCCAGCCCCTCAATGAGGTCCCCAGCCCCTCAGGGACGTCCCCAGGCCCAGGGTGGTGTCCCCAGCCCCACGCTGATTTTTCCAGTCCCTCAATGAGATCCCCAGCCCCATACTGATGTCTCCAACCCCTCAATGAGATCCCCAGCCCCATGCTGGTGTCCCCAGCCCCTCAGTGAGGTCCCCAACCCCAGGCTGGTGTGCCCAGCCCCACGCTGATGTCCCCAGCCCCATCCTGGTGTCCCCTGCCCCTCAATGAGATCCCCAGCCCCTCATTGATTTCTCCAGCCCCTCAGTGAGGTCCCCAGTCCCTCAATGAGGTCCTCAGGCCCAGGGTGGTGTCCCCAGCCGCACGCTGATGTTTCCAGCCCCCTCAATGCGATCCCCAGCCCCATGCTGATGTGTCCAACCCCTCAATGAGATCCCCAGCCCCATGCTGGTATACCCAGCCGCTCAATGAGGTCCCCAGCCCCACGCTGATGTTCCCAACCCCTCTATGAGATCCCCAGCCCCATACTGATGTCTCCAACCCCTCAATGAGGTCCCCAGCCTCAGGGTGGTGTCCCCAGCCCCACACTGGTGTCCCTAGCCCCACTCTGATGTCCCCAGCCCCATTCTGGTGTCTCCAGCCCCGCAGTGAGGTCCCCAACCCCATGCTGATGTCCCCCTGTGGTCCAAGCTGATGCCCGGCCCCCCAAGGACACCTGGGGCACCCCATGCCAGTGCCCGCAGCACCCAAGGGTGCCGCCTTTCCCCTCCCTAATTCCATACGGATGCCTGTGGATCTCCCCGCTGTGTGCTGAGCCCCCGCGCTCTAGCCGCTGCCCGTATATTAGCATATATTAGCATACAACAAACGAGCGAGCGCCGCGCCGCATAAATCTGCATATTAATGAGGAAGCCACGCCCCCCTCATTGCGTGCGCATTGGCGGGCGGTGCTGGCGCATGCGCACGCCCACCGCTTAAGGGAGGCGGGGCGGAAGCGGCGCCATGAGGGGCTGCGGAGCCGCGCTGCGCCTCGCCATTGAGGGCAACATCGGTACCGGGGGGCAGCGGGGGCGGCTCCGGCGCGGGGCGGGGTTTAGCGGCCGCCGGTGGGGTTTAACGGCCGCCGGTGGTGGTTCACGGCCGCCTCTGGGGGTGTTAACGGCCCTCGGTGGCGGTTAACGGCCGCCCCTGGGGGGGGTTTAACGGCCACCGCTGGCGGTTAACGGTCGCAGGTGGTGGGGGGAGACGTGTAAGGGTTGAGATTGGGGCGGGTTGGGGTGTTCTGGGGACACTGAGCTGTGGCAGCGGCGTTTTGGGGTGTAACTGGGGGATTTGGGGTGTTATGGAGGGGTCTTTGGGGTGTAACGGCAATAAGGAGGAGGGCATGTGGGGGTCTGGGCTGAAGGGGTTGTGGGGTGTCAAGTGGGGCCTTTGGGGTTACTATCTGGGTGTAAAAGGTGGGGTTTGGGCTGGGGGGGTGTTGGGGTGTAGCTGAGGGTGTTGGGGTGTAATGGGGGCATTGGGGTGTAACTGGGAGGGTCTTGGAGGTGTCTGGGGTGTGCACAGGGGATGTAGTGTGAGGAGATGGGCTCGGTGTGATGGGCAGAGGTTTTGGGTGTGATGGGGTTTGGGGTGTTGGGTGCAGGGCAAGCACTCCAGGCGTTGCATTAAGCAAGCATTTTAAAATAAAATGTGCAGTCACCATTTGTCTGGATAGAGGTGGTTCAGTTGGTTGTGGCAGGTTTAGAAAAGTAAAAGTCTGGATAGATGTGCAAACTTGGCACTTAAAAACAAAGAGGTCGTGTGTTACCCGCTGGCGAGAGGCTGCTGCTGCTCCGCGGATCTGCCGACTTTCCTCATTCCCCCTGTGTGTTTCCCTTAAGCCGTGGGGAAGTCCACCTTCGTCAGGCTCCTTGGAAGGACGTTCCCAGAGTGGCACTTGGTGATCGAGCCCGTGGCTCAATGGCAGAAGGTTCAGGCTGCGGGCACGAAAGAGGTGAGGGCACGTGTGGTCCCTGTCACCCTGCTCTCTTTGGTGGCATTTTGCCTTCACTATCCTCCTGTTTTCCCTCCGCAGGCTCCCTCTGCCCAGGGCTTTGGCAACCTGCTCCAGCTGCTCTACCAGGAGCCATCCCGATGGTCCTACACCTTCCAGACCTACTCCTGCATGAGCCGACTCAAGGCGCAGCTGGAGCCGCTTGCGGAGAGGCTGCTGAAGAGCCCGGAGCCCGTGCAGGTTTTTGAGAGATCTGTGTACAGCGACAGGTAGGGAGCCAAAAACTGCTCTGAGCCCTTTGTGGCAGTATCCGAGCCGTGGCAGAGGAACGTCCCGGCGTCTTGAGATTGTGAAGGGTTTTGATAAAATAGAGAAAAAGGGGAATTAAGTGCTCAATAGGCATCATTTTTATGGCAGCGGATGTAAAAGGAATGAAGCGGCAGAGATAGATATTTTGGAAACCAGCCCCAAGATGTGCGTGGTGAAGATGAGAGGATGACCCTGCAGCCCCCACTTGGCCCAGAACTGGAAGTGATGCTTAATTGAAGAAATCCCCGTGTCCCTTGTGGCAGGTCCGCTGTTAATGGATGCTTTGGGAATGCTGCAGGAAGACCCAGATCTTCCAGAATGGTTTTGCTCTTTGCCGCTCGCTCCTACTCTGCGTCACGCAGAGGTGGTGCTGGATGGGCCTGGTTCTTGGACCTGCTCTGGAAAATCCTTTCGGTGAAGCCTCACAGGCTGCATAATGGTGCTCCCATTTCATTTGGAAACTGGAAATACAGGCAGCTGTATTTTCCATCTTGCTCCAGCGTACATTAGGGATGATCTGAGGATGTCCGTGCGGTCCTCAGCGGAGCAGGCAGTTCTCCCTTGGAAAACAAACTGGAAGGGGAGAGGTGCTTGAGCGGGGAGGCTGGAGGGCGCTGCTCTTGGGGTGACTGTTACTCCTCCTCATCCTGTGCTGCTTGTGGGATTCTCTGTCCAGCTTGGCATTTTGTGGAGTAACGCGCAGCAGGGTTTGTGTGGAGCATGTGCAAACCACGTGGGGCTTGGGGGAGGCCCTGGGGGCCGTGGCCCCGACCGTTGGCGTCGCTGCCCCAGAGGGCGAGCACGGCCGGCTTGGCTAAAGCCACGTGTGGGACTGGGAGCAGTGGGCACCGTGTGGAGCCAAGCAGTTGGGATTTGCATGTCTGGAGGTGAAAATGGGATCTGGGAGGCTGTTGTGCCCTCCTGTTGTGCCTTGTGTTCTGTTGTGCTCTCCTGGCTGTGCTTGACTCAGTAAGCTTCTCTGAGCTCCGGAAAGTGGGATTTTGCAGCAGTGCTGGGCTAAGGATACAGTGAGGTTGCTTAGATACCTGTGGCAGGAGAGCTGTTTTCCGTAACCGTATTCCCAGCTGCCAGGGTCTGTCTTCCAAGCGAGCTCCGGAGGGCTGTCCGCTCGGCGTTCCGCTTGCCGTAGCATCCCGACCCCTTCCAGGAGGGCCCCTGGCATCTCCTCTCGAGGCTGTTGGGGCAGCAGAGGAAAACAGGAGCAAAGAAACTCGGTGAGCTGTGGGTGTCTGCGATGGTGGCATCACCTGGGCTCCGTCCTCTGTGCCCTCCCAGGTACGTGTTTGCCAAAAGCCTCTTTGAGGCCGGCCACCTGGACGCTCTGGAGTGGGCCATCTACCAGGACTGGCACAGCTTCCTGCTGCAGGAGCTCGCGGAGCGCGTCGCCCTGCACGGCTTCCTCTACCTGCGGGCGGCTCCGGAGGTAACGGAGCGCTCCCCAAGGCCCACGCTGCCTCTGGGAATTGGGGAGGGGAAGGAGGGCCGGCGATGGCGAAGCGAGGGGAGCTCTTGGATCACCGGGAGCTCCACGGGTGTGCTGCGAGCCAGGCTTGGCTGCGAGGGGAGCAAGGAGCCCCAGGCAGCTCCCAGTCCTGTTCCCATGGGCAGGTCGGTGGTTTTGCTGTGGATCCCAGGGCAGCCCCTACATCTTCCCCTACCGCTCTGCCCAGATATTGAGGATTCTGACAGGGAGAGCTCTGGGTCCCTGGGTGCCTCTGGGTTTGCAGGGTGCCCAGTGTTGATTTTGATGGATGTCCCCATCACGGTGGCTTCTCTCGGGCTGCTTTGCCCCCCTGGCTGGTAACACACTTGCTTGGGCCTCTCTCAAGCTAGTCTCTTGTCGCTTCCCTGCAGAAATGCCTGGAGAGGCTGCGCCGCAGGGGGAGGCCCGAGGAGAAGGGCATCCAGCTGGACTATCTGCAGCAGCTTCACGCTCAGCACGAGAGCTGGCTGGTGGAGAGGACCACAGAGTGAGTGAGAAACGCGGGAACGATGCAGCTTTGGAGGAGAGAGCTCCAGAGGCCGCTTCCCGACAGCGCGTTCTCCGGCGCCGCAGCCCGCGGGACCCCCGTCCTTCTCGCCTGCGTTTTGCTGACGGCCGCTGCCCTCGGGCTCCTTCTCCCTGCCCCTCAGGGTGCATTTTGCGGGATTAAGGGGCGCCTCCGTCCTGGTGCTCGACGTCGACCGGGATTTCGAGCATGACGCCGCTGTGCGGGATGTCCTCATGGCCAAGGTAGGCGGAGCAGGAGCCTCTCGCGGGGGCGTCCTCCCAGGAACGGCAGGAACATCGGGAGCTCTCCCGAATGTGGCGGGGAAAGGAGCCCCCGGCAAGACTCTCCTCGACACCACGGTCCTCCCTGCCCCGCTTCCCTCCCTGGCTGCTGGGAATCCCTGTTGTGTCCATGAGCGGCAGCCACGGGGCTGTCCCGTCCCTCCCTGCCCCGTCCACAAACATGCCCCTTTTGCAAGCGCTTCTGTGCGGAAAACGCCGCGGCCCTTCCCGAGGCCGCCCCGAACGGGCTCTCCTCGCAGGTGGAGGCTTTCGTCCGGACACTGCGATCCGAAGCTTTGCCCTCCCGTCCCGACGTTCCTGTGGGAGTTTAGCTCCTCGGAGACTTCTCGACCCACCGGAGACGAAAGGGAGCCGTGGGACGGTTGGCGTCGGCCTCGGGAGGCGGCGCCGGCGCTCCCGGGCTCGTGGCCGAGGGATGCGGCTGCTGGAGGCTTGGGAGGCAGGGAGGCCTCGGCATGGAATGTGTGGGCGCCGGAGGGAAGGGCATTTGGGAGAACGGATCCTTGGAGGAGCTGCTGGCCGTGCTGGGGCTGAGCTTGGAGTTTGGGATGCTGACCCCGAGGATGGGGTAGATCATGGGGGCTCTGCTGCCGTCTCCCGCTGACATTTGAACCTCTTCCCAGAATTTTTGTAATCCGAAGCAAATAATAATGATTTTCCCAAAGCGAGGAGGTGGCCAGAGCTGCCCGAAGCCGCGCAGGAGGCGATGGAGCCTCCCCCCAAAGCAGCGGAGATGCCTCCGCAGGGACGTTCACCAGGAAGGGGGCGAGGGAGCGTCCGGCTTCTCGGGATCAGCCCTTCCCGCCCCTGCATCCCGGCGCGGGAGCCTCCGTCCCTGCCATGTGCGACGTGCAGGGAGGCCTCGCGCCGCGGCGCCTTCCACATCTGTGCGTGTTTCCCGGGAACGTTGGAGGAGCAGATGCTTTTGTGATGTGGATTTAATGCCCTGGTTGAATTCCAAAGGAAAAATCTCCGTGCTTTTATTTGGCTCATGTTGAAGTTACAATAAATGTTTTTTTCCCCCCCCCCCCCTTTTTTTTTCCTTCCCCCCACTCCTGATTTTTAAATTGAAACCACCCCAGGGTGAGAGGGGGCTGCGTTTGGAGCTGCATCCGCGGGGCGCCGAGGGAGGTGGATCCGCGGAGCTCTGAAGCGGAGGCAGGAGCCCATGGAGCGGCCGGGGGCTGGGAGGCCGAGATTCCCGCTGGAGAGACGAGTTGGGGCCACATGGGCTGAGCTGGGGGAGGCCCGGCCTCCCCTTCCCGAGGGATCGGTGCCTCTCCCGTACCTGCCTCGTTCCCGGTCTCCCCCTGGAGCGGAGCCCCCTGCGCCTTCTCCGTTGGCTCCGGAGCGCTGCTGGGCACGTCGCCTCGTGCAAGGGCCAGGAGCCTTTGATCCCCCTAATCCTGCTGTTCCCCACGGTGCCCTTAGGGAGCTGCGGGTGTCCAGCCCTGCCGGAGCTCAGCCCGGACATCCCCGCGCTCCGCTCCGGAAAAGGAGCTCCCGGGGAGCCGGGACCATCGGATTGAAGGCGGGTGGAGTGACGTGGGGGCATCCCGGCCTTCTCCCAGCCTAGGGCTGGAGGGCCCTGATCCCAATCCGGGGCCCAGATCCCAATCCATGGCCCGGGACCCTGATCCCAATCTGGGGCCCTGATCCCGATCCATGGCCCGGGACCCTGATCCCAATCCGGGGCCCTGCTCACTCCCCTCCGTCCCCCTCACAGAGCTCTGCTCTCCCCACGGATCCAGCTCCTGCACGACGCTCTGCCCTGCTCCCACGTTATTTATGCTCCGATAGGGGAAAAATAACAAATACAAATTCCCCGAACACAGAAGATCC